ATTTGTTTGACTAGAGAGTGAATGTGTTTGACCAGGGAGTGAATATGTTTGGCCAAAGAGTAACTATGTTTGACCAGAGCATGAATTCTTTGACAAGAGAAATAATGTGTTGACCAGAGATTACATTTCTGTTTGACCAGAGAATGTCTATGTTTTGCCAAAGAGTAAATGTATTTTACTAGATATTAAATGTTTTTGACAAGAGTTGAATGTGTTTGACCAAAGAGTAAATGTGTTTGACCAGAGATTATATGTGTTTGACCAGAGAGTAAATGTGTTTTACGAGAGAGTAAATGTGTTTGACCAAAGAGTAAATGTGTTTGATCAGAGAGTGAATGTGCTTCACCAGAGAGTAAATGTGTTTGACCAAAGAGTAAATGTGCTTGACCAAATAGTGAATGTGTTTGACCAGAATTGAATGTGTTTGACCAGAGAGTGAATGTGTTTGACCAGAGAGTGAATGTGTTTAACCAGAGAGTGAATGTGTTTGACCAGATAGTGAATGTGTTCGTCCAGAGATTAAGTGTGTTTTACCAGAGAGTGAATGTGTCTGACCAAAGAGTAAATGTGTTTGACAAAAGAGTGGTTGTGTTTACCAGAGAGTAAATGTGTTTGACCAGTGAATGAATGTGTTTGACCAGAGAGTGAATGAGTTTGACCAGAGAGTGAAAGTTGGCAGGTTAAATAGTTCCACAAAAGACATGGTGATTAGCGTTGGATCAGTGGCGTAGCTATGGGAGAGGGTCCACATTCAAAAGTCCCCCGGGCCATTACTTGGGGGGGGGGGGACCCAAAGACATGTCCGAAAGTATTTTTTTAAATTAAATAATGTCGAGTGTCAAAATGCAGGGTCCCTAAAGAAGCCACCCCCCGGGCCCCAAATCACCTGAAATCCCTAGCTACGCCACTGCTTTGGGTGTAGAAAATGTTACATGATTAAATGAATAGAATATCGCTTGCCACGTCAATATGAATTTTGGTCAGGGGAAGTTCACATCAATTCATTTTTCAATTTTATTACATTCAGAATTTTTAAAAAAAATTATGAGGAGCGTGGCAATAAATAAGATGCGAAATACATGAACTCATGGGAACCGAAAACCAGATGAACGGATGCTAACAGGTTGGTCTATAACTTTTTCATCTGACAAACTCAGTGGGGATTAAACAGTTTAGTTGTATCTGCATGTAAACATTTCATGATGTGTTTTTGTGTGTCTCCCCAGGCAAGATTTCAGTTTTTTGTGTCCTCAACAGGGAAAGCCTTCTTGAAAAATGATCCATGCCAACCAGCAGCAGACATTGCTGACTTGTGTGACAACTGACACCGCAGATGAGGGTCGGGATGGGCAGGTGGACCCAGACCACGTGGTCAGGCACACGTGGTCCAGGAAAACAGAATATGTCCTGTCCATGGTCGGCCTCTGTGTGGGATTAGGCAATGTCTGGAGGTTTCCTTACGTGTGCATTAGAAATGGCGGAGGTCAGCTCCCTGGCTGTACACTCACTAGCTATGCACTCACTATCTATACACTCACTAGCTATATACTCACTAGCTGTACACTCACTAGCTATACATCCACTAGCTATAAACTCACTAGCTACACACTCACTAACTATACACTCACTGGCTATACACTCACTAGCTATAAATTAACTAGTTATACACTCACTAGAAAAAACTCACTAGCTATACACTCCCTAGCTATACACTCACTAGCTACACACTCACTAGCTATACAATCACTAGCTATACACTCACGAGCTATACACTCACTGGGTATATACTCACTAGCTATACATTCAGTAGCTATACACTCATTGGCTATACACTCACTAGCTATAAACTCACTAGCTATATATTCATTAGCTATATACTCACTGACAATACACTCACTAATTATACACTCACTAGCTTACTATACACTCACTAGCTAAAAGTTAACTAGCTATACACTCACTAGCTATACACTCACTAGTAATACACTCACTAGCTATACACTGACTAGCAAAAACTCACTAGCAATAACTCACTAGCTATACACTTACTAGTTATACACTAACTAGTTATACACTCACTAGGCATACACTAACTGGTAATACACTCAGTACAAATAAACTCTCTAACTATACACTCACTAGTTATACACTCGCTAGCTATAAACTCACTAGCTATACACTCACTAGTTATACACTCAGTAGTGATACACTCCTTAGGCATACACTAACAATTAATACACTAAGTACAAATAAACTCTCTAACTATACACTCACTAGTTATACACTCACTAGCTATACACTTGCTAGCTATACACTCACTAGGCATAAACTAACTAGTAATACACTCAGTACAAATAAACTCTCAAACTATACACTCACTATCTTTACACTCACTAGTTATAAACTCACTAGCTATAAACTCACTAGCTATACACTCACTAGTTATACACCCACTAGTTATACACCCACTAGCTATACACTCACTAGCTATACACTTACTAGTTATACACTCACTAGTTATAAACTCACTAGATATACACTCACTAGCTATACACTTACTAGTTATACACTCACTAGTTATAAACTCACTAGCTATACACTCACTAGCTATACACTTACTAGTTATACACTCACTAGTTATAAACTCACTAGATATACACTAACTAGCTATACACTTACTAGTTATACACTCACTAGTTATAAACTCACTAGCTATACACTCACTAGATATACACTTACTAGTTATACACTCACTAGTTATAAACTCACTAGTTATACACTCACCAGTTAAACACTCATTAGTTATAAAGTATCATATTTCAAATTAATCCCTTTCATTTCCAAATGACTCATTCATAAGACCGTTGGAATATTGATCACAAAAAAAGATGTTTTATTTGAAGAAAGAAAAAAAAGAACCATGATTAAACATTTTAAAAATTCTAGTGACAAGCAAACTGATATTTTATGATCAAGACACAACGGATGTCTTCAAGACACAGCCGATGTCTTCAAGACACAACTGATGTCTAGCTCATTTTTTAAACAAAAACTTTGCCCATACTAGAAAAGTTCAACTCTGTCAAGTAGAAAGTAGAAGATTACATCATTATAGCTAGTATCGACGTGTGCCTCACATCATTTCAAGGACGTACACAAAGTATTTTGTACACAGACACGATGCACATCAATCCAAACATGCACACAAATTATTGTATACACATCCATGATGCGCAATAGTTAAGGACCTACACAAAGTATTTAGTTCTCTATCTGACATGTTCTCTGTGTGATATGTTCTCTATGTGACATTTTCTTTATATGACATGTTCTCTATGTGACATGTTCTCTATGTGACATGTTATCTATGTGACATGTTATCTATGTAAAATGTTCTCTATGTGAAATGTTCTCTATTTGACATGTATTCCAGTGACATGTTCTCTATGTGACATGTTCTCTATGTGACATGTTCTCTATGTGACATGTTATCTATGTAAAATGTTCTCTATGTGAAATGTTCTCTATTTGACATGTATTCCAGTGACATGTTCTCTATGTGACATGTTCTCTATGTGACATGTTCTATATGTGTCATGTTCTCTATGTGACATGTTCTCTATGTGACATGTTTTATATATATGACATGTTCTCTATGTGACATGTTCTCTATGTGACATGTTCTCCATGTGAAATGTTCACTATGTGACATGTTCTCTGTGTGACATGTTCTCTATGTAAAATGTTCTCTATGTGAAATGTTCTCTATGTGACATGTATGCCAATGACATGTTCTCTATGTGACATGTTCTCTATGTGACATGTTCTCTATATGACATGTTTTCTATGTGACATGTTTTATATGTAACATGTCTTCTATGTGACATGTTCTCTATGTGAAATGTTCTCTATATGACATGTTCTCTATGTGACATGTTCTCTATGTGACATGTTCTCTGTGTGACATGTTCTCTATGTGACATGTTCTCTATGTCTCATGTTCTCTATGTGACATTTTCTCTGTGTGACATTTTCTCTGTGTGACATGTTCTCTATGTGACATGTTCTCTGTGTGACATGTTCTCTATGTGACATGTTCTCTATGTTTCATGTTCTCTATGTGACATTTTCTCTGTGTGACATTTTCTCTGTGTGTCATGTTCTCTGTGTGACATTTTCTCTGTGTGACATTTTCTCTGTGTGACATTTTCTCTGTGTGACATGTTCTCTGTGTGACATGTTCTCTGAGTGACATGTTCTCTATGTGACATGTTTTCTATGTGTTTCAGGAGCATTCTTAATACCGTTTGTCATCTGCCTGGCCGTGTGTGGTCTGCCACTTTATTTCATGGAAGTAGCCATGGGGCAGTTCATGTCCAGGGGTGCCTTCCACGTCTGGAATATTTGCCCACTCTTTAAAGGTATCAAACGGCAGGAGAAAAAAATTGGAGTTTTTCCCTCTCTCCCTCTTGATCTTGGGAGAGAGGGGAAGAGAAAGAAGGGATAGAGAGGGGAGAGATATAGGGAGAGAGAGGAGCGAATGAAGAGGGGATAGAGAGGGAGGGGATTCATAAGGGAGAAAGAGGGGAGAGAGAAAGGGTATAGGCAGTGTAGAGAGAGTGGTTAGAGAGGGGGCAGATAGAGAGGGGAGGGGAGGAGGGCACAGGGGTGGATAGATAGTGTGCAGGAAGAAAGACAAGACAGATGGACAGAAATGCATCAGTCCTCTGCATCTTAACATTTCAAAGTGTGGTTGTTCTGTGAATATATTCTTTTAAATTGATGCTTAAGTATACAACTTTAATGACTGCATAAATAAATATGAAGTATTTTGCACTGAAGAGTATTTTTCGTTTTGATGCGTTTGTTGCAAACTTGGCAATAATATTTCAACTTAAAAGTCTGAATCTCTTCGAAAGCGGCAAGTGTTTGATTTTTTTCATATAGTTTGATCGTTTCCACAGGTATAGGCATTGGCCAGATTGTTGCCGGTTTTATAAGTTCGTGGTACTACGTGATTCCTATTGCCTGGATCTCAATATACTTGGCCAACTCCTTCAAATCTCCGTTGCCTTGGACACTGTGTGGACAAGATTGGAACACCCCACTGTGTGTTCCACAGGGAAGTCGTGTCACCAGAAACGAATCTGTCAACATTTCTTTTAACGCAAGTGATCAGGGTGATAAGCAGGACTTACAGGCCATCAATATCACTGCTAGTCACATGATTGGTATCAGACCAGCAAGTGAAGAATTTTGGATGTGAGTTCTATTGTTTTGCCTGTATCTCAAATAATTTTACACGTGACGTGATTTAATGCTGCCACATTTATTTAAAATAATAATAATAATTATAATACGAAATCAACTAACACAGCGGTTCTCAACCTGTGGGTCGCGACCCCTTTGGGGGGTCGAACGACCCTTTCACAGGGGTTACCTAAGACCATCGAAAAACACATATTGTCTACAGTTATGAAGTAGCAACGAAAATAATTTTGTTGTTAGGGGTCGCCATAACATGAGGAACTGTATTAAAGGGTCGTGGCATTAGAAAGGTTGAGAACCACTGAAATAACAGTTATATTGACATTGTATCCATCCATCCTTGTGTCGCTACAGCCAGTGTGCCATACCTTGGGAATTTTCCCAAGATCTTGGGAAATCACTACCCCATTCAGGACCAAAACTCACTTTTTTTATTTAAAAAAAAACCCATATATTTTCATGATCTTCGGAAATCTTGGGAATTATTTTGACAAAATCTTGGGAATTTTTAAAATAATTGAGTGAAAGCCCTAGCTACAGCCCATGTAGGTTCTTTGGCCTGCCTCACCACTTCCTTCCACTCAGACCTAACTAATCATAATAATGCTTTGCTTTTCCATGCTTGGATTCCCAGCTTCTGAAGATCTTTTCCCACATCATCCATCCATCTAGGCCTAGGTCTGCCTTTGAGCCGTTTTACTCTGGGGTTTTGGTGGTACACCCTCTTCGCTCCTCTGTCCTTTGGCATTCTCTCTAAGTATCACGTCCAGCGTAGCCTACCCATTTTTTTTTTAATTTCTGCTACTAGCGTGGCCTCCCCTATCCGCCACATGGGGAGGCTCTCAATTGAAGATCAGTATCTCCGCAGCCTGCAGGAGAACTAACTGTTATATACCTTACTTAATTCAGGGGTCTATGCTCTATTTTGTTATTAATTTAATCATAGATTCTCGTGGAATTATTTGTAAAATTAATTTTTTTTTTTTTTTTTTTTTTTTTTTTTTTTTTATAAAGATTAAATATTTTTTTTTTTTTTTTTTTTTTTGTTATTTAATACAGCGTAACACTTTGCTGTAGTTATTATTTTTTTAAATACAAAAGTATATTGTTGAACAGCATCTAATTTTTATTACTATCTTTTACAATATTATTATTTTTTTTTTTAAATTCAGAAATAATGTCCTTCAACTCTCTTCTGGACTTGAGGATATGGATGGTCTCCCTTGGCACACCACTTTGGCCCTATTAATATCTTGTCTGCTGGTGTTCATATGCCTCAGCAGGGGAGTCAAATCTGTAGGAAAGGTAATACTTGATTATCTTTGAGTGAGGTTCATTAATCAATATCAGGAAGGAACACTCAATTTTTCTCAAAATGACAATTTTGTGTTACGCAAGTGCCCCACCCCTTTTTTTTACTCACACACACACACTTTGAATTTCCTCAACAATTATTAAATACGTAAATAGAATTTGAATATAGCTGAGTTTTAATTTAAATAGCTGACTTTTACTTTTTGTTGTATATGGAGATTTGGGACCCTAAAGAGTCTCTCTGAAACATTTTGAAACTCAAATCTTATAATGCCACAAAGGATTGTATTTGATCAGTGATTTTTAATTTTTATCCAAGCGTGTGAAGAATCCTACATGTCCTCAGACTCATATTAGGTGCAGCTACCCTTAAAATCAGAGCCCTAGCAGCTACCCTTAAAATCAGAGCCCTAGCTGCTACCCTTAAAATCAGAGCCCTAGCAGCTACCATTAATATCAGAGCCCCAGAACCTACCGTTGATATCCGAGTCCTAGAATATCATTAATATTATAGCCCTAGCAGATACCATTAACATCTTATAGGGCTCTGACATTAATGGTAGCTTCTAGGGCTCTGATATCAATGGTAAGTGGTACAGCTCTGTTAATATCTGCTTCATTTAAAATAATATTTTCAAGAAGCCCTAGCAGATACCATTAACATCTTATAGGGCTCTGACATTAATGGTAGCTTCTAGGGCTCTGATATCAATGGTAAGTGGTACAGCTCTGTTAATATCTGCTTCATTTAAAATAATATTTTCAAGAACTTTTTTCCATCTTTAAAAGCAGTGGGTGAAAATAATAATACTTTCTATAAATCAAGGTTGTCTACATCACAGCCACTTTGCCATACATTCTAATCACAGTCCTCATCATAAAAGGTGCCACTTTACCTGGGGCAGTAGATGGTGTTTTATTCTACATTAGCCCAGACTTCAGGTACCTGGTACTGGTAATTATAACTGCAGTCTTTCATTACGAGTACCGGTACGGTACTAAAGAGTACCGACACAGGTAGTTAATGTACACAGGAGGTTATAACAGGAGGAAGAATGATGTGATATCACTTCTTGGAGATAGGGAGACAAGTGTATTAAATACAGCCATAAAAACATTGATAATTTACTAATGATAATTGGTATGTTCTATGGAGACATTCTGCTAACTAAAATATTGTATTGAAATTATAAAAAGTGTTAAGTTAAAAAAATGTGCAATCTTGACTTGTCCAGTAAATTGATGCAAGTGCAGACGTGGCTGGAAGCAAGTCTACAAGTCATCTACTCACTGGGACCAATCTGGGGCGGGCTGGTAACAATGGCCAGCTACAACAAATTTAATAACAATTGTATGAGGTAGGGTATACTTGTTTCTTGCATCAACTTTTACTACAGGTATCAGTAGTTAAATATTTTTTTTTAAATTTAAAATACAAGCTGGTAACAATGGCCAGCTACAACAAATTTAATAACAATTGTATGAGGTAGGGTATACTTGTTTCTTGCATCAACTTTTACTACAGGTATCAGTAGTTAAATATTTTTTTTTAAATTTAAAATACATCGTAACAAATTTAAAACATTCCTTTTTTATTTTCCAGAGATTCTATAATGTTGACATTCTTGAGTCTGGGCACTAGTGTGTTTGCTGGATTTGCTATCTTCACAGTACTTGGTCATATGGCTTATAATCTCGATGTTCCAGTTGCCAATTTCTCAGAAACAGGTATTTCAAAAACACATTGATTAATAAGAGGTTTTTGTTTGAAAAAGAAATAATTTAATAATTTAGACCTCAAAAAAACAAACATTTTTTATAACTGTCATATTTTTGCCAAACGAAAAATTAACGGTATAACAATAATAGACAATCAAAGTGATTTTTTTATGTCGTTAAAACTGTGTTTTTTTCTATTATCAGGGGCAGGATTAGCCTTTGTTGTCTACCCTGAAGCCATTGCTTTTCTCCCAGTACCACAATTGTGGGGTGTGTTGTTTTTCCTCATGTTGTTTGCTGTTGCCTTAGATTCACAGGTAACTTATTTGAAGTAACTTACCGGTAATGTTACTTTCCTGTTTCTGATAAAATTATAAGTATAAATAAATATATGAATGACATAAATACCGGTACATAAAACAAACAATAATAAAATAAAGTTTAATTTTTTTTTAATGAGATTTTTTCAAATAATTTAAATTGAAAAAAGACTTTGTCAGTCAATCTTTTGTAAACTCTATAAGTCAATGTACAAGATCTCAATACACATATTAAAAATGTAGCGCTAAAAAGCTAGATGTTAAAATTTATAAAAGTGCTTTGAGGTGCTTTATTTTTTTTCTTATTTATGAATCTGCTATTTTAGAATTCAGGAATTGTAAAAATAAAATGTTCACTTTTTTTGCCAGTTTGTTTATGTAGAAATAGTTTTGACCAGCATCTATGATATTTGGCCAAAATTCGTCACTAAATACAACATAGCAGTGAAATTGGGATATTGTTCATTACAATTCATTACTGGACTACCATTTGCTGCCAGAGTAAGTAAATGTACAGAAAACACCTTTGAATTTAATGAAAGTTAAACTAGCCCCCAGATAGACTTAAAATTGTTCACTTATTTTTTTCTGTTTAGATCAGGGATCTGCAAAAAAATTTTAGCTATTACCCCAAAATAGATACTGCCGATAACCCTGATTTGAAAGGATGAAAATCATAGACTTTTTATTTTCAAAATGGTATACTGAATCTATTTATTTTGAGAATACAATAATAAATATAGAAGTGCTAAATTAATTTGATAAAAATAAATTTATAAAATACTTATAATGGAACAGAAGGATACCTTTGGAAAAAAAAGTAACTTCAAATTTTGTAGAAATGATGTTTCATTTTTATAAAATGACATCAAATTTTTTTCTTTTTTTAAATCAGAGAAAATTTGGATATTTTTTGGGGGATCAACTAATTGATTTCTATTCTTTTTTTATGTTCATTTGAGTGAAATATTGGCAAAGGTTGGTGCAAAAGGTGGAAAAAATTTGACTGCCTCCTCTTGAGAATCATTGAAAACCATTGAATCTCTTGATGTTTTGAGGATATTCAGGAGCATCACTAGGAGTGTGGGGTGTGGACCATATCAGGGACATCCTACAATGGGGTTGACAACTTGAAAGGGGAATGACACCATTTGAAAATTAAAATTTGACAGAGCTTATTCAAATTAGTTTTATAACACAACTAAGTTTAATTCAAGAGCTGAATGCCACCTGTTACTAGAGCAGGCTGTCTTGGAGGACATCCATGGGCGATTCAGGCACCTGTCACTAGAGCAGGCTGTCTTGGAGGAGATCCATGAGCGATTCAGGATGGGGTGACACCATGCCATGAAAAAAACTGCACTGAGTGGAACCAATTCTTGTGATGCCTCTGAGCATAAGATAAAATAGTTGACTAGACAAAAATTACATGAACAAGACGACACGTGAGGGCTAGCTGTCGAGCCAAGAGTAACAAGTTAATGAGTGTGTTTGGCTATTGCATCTGCCAGATGCAGTATTGCCAACAAAATAAATGTCATTAAAAAAACATGCTTCAAATAAAATTGTATTTATGTCTATTGAGCCCTCATAACCCCTAAGATTTCCATTTTACCCCATCTAGGGTAATTTACCACAAATTGCCATCCTCTGGTTTGGATGCTGATGAGTTTTTCTATATATTAAAATAGTGTGGTGCAGGCCTGCATAACATATGGCCCGCAAACCGCCATGCGGCCCACCAGCAACCATTTTGCGGCCCGTGAAGCAACAAATAATGTTTATTCTTATAATTTTCGTTATAGCTTTCCCCCCTGTCCAATTTTCTTTTTGCCCGCAAAAGTTGTTCATAAAGTATTACAGCCCGCCCTACATTTTGAGTTGTGCAGGTCTGGTGTAGTTTGACAAGTCATACCAGCAGTGTGTCTTCAGACAGAATATTGTTAGAATGTTACCATCTCTTTTAATAAGTCATACCACTTGACTGTTGACAGGGAGGAATGTACTTGTTCCAACTGGTTGACTGGTACATAGCTGCTTTTGCTGCTGTAGCGATTGGACTGCTTGAGTGCATAATTGTTGCCTGGATCTATGGTTAGTGATATGTACAAATTTTTTTCAGGGTATATAGTAAGTTAAACTACAGCATTTATTGCATCTCAACTTCTCTCTGGACGGCGCACAGAGCTCGAAAACAAATTAGAATCCCTAAGCTTACAAAAAAAACATAGTTAATTACCTTGTTTTTTTCTGTGCTCCATATCAACATTAATTTGTAACACTGAGGGCTCCATATCAACATTAATTTGTAACATTGAGGGCTCCATATCAACATTAATTTGTAACACTGAGGGCTCAATATCAACATTAATTTGTAACAATGAGGGCTCCATATCAACATTCATTTGTAACACTGAGGGCTCCATATCAACACTAATTTGTAACACTGAGGGCTCCATATCAACATTAATTTGTAACATTAAGGGCTCCATATCAACATTAATTTGTAACACTGAGGGCTCCATATCAACATTAATTTGTAACATTGAGGGCTCCATATCAACATTAATTTGTAACACTGAGGGCTCCATATCAACATTAATTTGTAACATTGAGGGCTCCATATCAACATTAATTTGTAACACTGAGGGCTTCATATCAACATTAATTTGTAACACTGAGGGCTCCATATCAAATTAATTTGTAACATTGAGGGCTCCATATCAACATTAATTTGTAACATTGAGGGCTCCATATCAACATTAATTTGTAACATTGAGGGCTACATATCAACATTAATTTGTAACACTGAGGGCTCCATATCAACATTAATTTGTAACACTGAGGGCTCCATATCAACACTAATTTGTAACATTGAGGCATATTAAAAAACATAATTGATATTTATTTGTGCTAACCTATCTAGGAGCAGATAACTTTATTGATGATGTGACGAGAATGATGGGGTATAGGCCTCCTTACATGTTTAATATTTTATGGAGATTTATTACACCAGCTCTGCTCATAGTAAGTTATACAGTTATTGTTTCAGAAAAAAAAAAAACTTTTAATCAATAAATCCATGTTGAAATAGTAACATCATATTTTTATTTTCTATCGGTTTTAATTATATTACTGTACTTGTAAGGTTAAGCAAACTTGAACGTGAAAATATATTTTAGCTGGTTTTTTTTAAAATGTTTGTACCGGTATTGAAAGAATTATGACTTGTGTCGATGCCAGGTTGTGCTGGTAACATCACTGATGAGTTACGAAGCCCCTACTTTTGAAGGTTACAAGTTCACTTCAGCTGGGATAGCATTCGGATGGTTCATTGCAGTCGTTTGGTTCCTTCCCATTCCTCTTGTAGCCATTGCTCAGATACTGAGGACCAAAGGGAGCTTTCTTGAGGTTAGAATATATTTCACAGGTTTTTTGGTAGACCCCCAATTAATATCAAACTTTCTTTTTAAGTGTATTTTCTTTGGTTGTAGGTAATCTACAAACTTTGATGGCTGGTGTAAAGAGCATTTTCATTTTAAGAAAAATTACTAGTCGAAATGTACTTTGAATAAAAATCTAGCATGATATGTGTATCTTGTTGCGTTTCCATGCTTTAAATTAATTATTTGTTAAAAATAATTGTTAAAATTTAATTTAAAAAGCAAACTGTGATTATGAAAGATTAATTAGTCAATCTTGGAGAATGGCAAATGTCTTAAAATTCAACTGATTAATTTAGAGGTGTTACAGTATCTCAAATTAATTCAAATTTAAAAAATGACAATATAATATGTTGAGGTTTGAACAAAAAATTATTTGAATGAATATGTATTTTCTTTATATCTAAAGAAATATTTTATTAATATATTAATAAAAGATGTGTTAAAAATTCAGTTTGTTTATTTCTTTAAAAAATTCATGATATAAATAAAAATAAAATGCTGATATTTCACAGAGATTAAAAGCCACTTGCAAGCCATCACAAGAATGGCAACCAGGTGATGTGACTTTGAGACAACAGTACAGATCAGACCCAAGTCAATCAGAATTATGCACTTTTAGAACCACATGTTGCAGGTCCACATAGAACTAATTGCTTAAGAACACCCCCCCCCCTTCTTTTTTTGTTGTTGCTAGGACCATCTAAACAAACAGTTCTTGAACCACTTGTTGCAGGTCCACCTTAGAAACAGTTCTAGAACCACTTGTTGAAAGGTTAAAGCTAATAGTTTTAGAACCATTTATTGAATTGTCCATCTAAAACTGATAGTTTTAGAACTACTTGCACCTCCACCAAGAAAAAATAGCTCCATGTGCCACTATAACTGCAGTTAAACTTAAAATTATAATTTAAAATTATAAAATTGCAGGTCCAGCTAAAACACATTTCTGAAATCAACTTGAAACAAGTCCACCTTAACTATTCGTTTTAGCTCAGTCTATATTTTAGAACCATTAGCTTAAAAATATGCTAAATGCATATAGGTAAATTCATTGTTACTGTCCGACTGCATCTTTAGAATTATTAGTCCGGGTATAATTTCTTTAAAATCCAATGCAAAGTCATCTTACTTTAACCATAGGATCATTAATATCAATTTTTGCATCATTTTGAATGAATCTACATGTGTTTGTAGGATAGATTCATCCCTATGCTCTCTAATAAACTTCACATGATCTTGGGGAGCCATACTAAATTTATAACCTCCATTAATTGCTTACAAAAGTTAAACATTCAGCTTTGTATTTTCATTTTAGGTGTGGGTTAAAAGTGTATGTTTTGGTCCTATTTCTGGGTTAAATGAAGTCATTGTGCATGTATTTCCATAGTTACCTACCAAGAGATTAAAATTATTTCATTGCATTCACATACAATAAGAATTTAGTGACAACGCTGTGAGACTTTGTTTTAAGGACTGCCTTCAAGCTGTGTGAATGAAATAGTAGAACAATGTATCTGGACCTTATTTTTCAGAGTACCAATATATATATATTCTTTCCCTTCCTGTAATTTTTGGTTTTGAAAAAATCCTTCTTCTGGCAACAACAGAGGATATCTATAAAAGTTTTATTACTTTGCTCTGTTTCTTGTCATATTTTTGTATGTCCTGTTCCCTGAAGATGGCTCTCAGCCAAAATGTTCACACCTTATTGTTCTATCTTTTAATTCAAGCTTTTACATAACTTGTTATACTATTTGATTGTTAATAACAAATTTATTGGAAAGCATCGCTATCATTGAAAAGTGGCTTGTATTGTAAACCTGTTTTCTCACAAAATAATCTCAATGATAGCGTTCCATTTTCTTTGTCTTCCAGTTAATCAAAATGAAGTGTCTGTAATTTAAATGTAACACCTAGGTTATTATTTTTTAGAATATGGTAGCTTAAAAATTGCATAATTCATTAAAAAAATCAACTCAGTTTTTATAAAAATGTAATATTTATTAATATACAATTTATTCTTATATTAAATCCAACGAACATTAAAAACTTTATTGCAAAATAATGTGGTATAAAAACTATTGTAGTTAAAAAATTGATTTTGTGAACTTTAAACCTTTGCTAAAAGTGCAAACATTAAAAATGTAAAAAAATTATCTCAATCTTGTTGCCATTTAAAAATAATTAAAAGGTTTGAAATTGAGAATTTGTTGAAAAGAAGAGGAGTTTAAAATGTTCATGTTTGTTTCGTACTGGTCCTGCTTTTGCTGCCATTTGAAGAGGGACTACTCTCAATTTTTGAGGTAAGAACAGTCAGGCGATCTTTGGCGTTCTTTAACATCTGCTCAAGTTCTGTCTGGAATTTTTAAAAACTTAAAGTTAATCCTAAGAAGATATATCTTGCACTTCTAAACATGGAAATGAATCGATTTTGTCATTGTAGAAATCAAAAGAGCATTATCACTGGCAATACTTCTATTTTAGACAAATTCACATTAAGTACATCATCTTATTATTATTACTGCAGCCTCTCAATAATCTTATGAAACTGTTTCCTGCTCAATAATTTATTTGGAATTCAGACACGGTTAAGTTTGATGAAATTCAAAAGTGTAAGAACATGTTGTGAAAAGACCCGAGTTATTAACTGCACTTTGAAAGAATTACCTGGTTGTAGCGAAGAAACAGCCGTGTAGATTTCAAGTTCTTCTTCTTGTGCACATGTTTGAGTCCATGTTCCAGGCACAGGACTTGCTCATCTTGTTCATTCAGAACCTTCACTCAGAAATAAAGATATTCAGTTTAGATCTCAGACAGCCGGCTTTGGATTGGGAACACAAAATCAACATTCCTCAATTTCCTTCACTCGGCTCGGACACAGTCCTTCTTATATTACTCTCAATGTATAAACAAAATTAAACAGACGGAATCCTAACAATAAATGAAACCAAGCAATCAGTATGAAAAATATACACAATATATTAAAAAAACAAACAAAACAAATGGCTCAACAACACAAAAGTACTGAAGGTAATATCAGGAAATTTGATTTGAATTTACAAACTTAATAGACACAATCAAGAATTTATATGATAAATAATTTAATGAAAGATTTTTTAGGACATTACCACCACACTGCAAAAGCAGCATAATTTTAACATTACTGAAATTTTTTTATTTTGTATTTACTACATTAGCCTTCAGACCACTTCATGTATGCAAGGATCCACATTTTTAGTAGGTATGCTAAACATTATGTGAATATGTGGTCTAGACATTGTGCCTCCATTTTCACAGTATTACTTTCACTAAAAGTTATTCAAAATTACGGATTGGAAAAGTTATTCAAAATTAAAAAATCATCTGATTTTTTTAAAAAATTATTTATCGTTATCTGAATATTTTTTACAACGCATACCCAATTATTCTGTACATCAAGGTCATCGTGACATTTTATTTTATAAGATCGAAAGTGGGAGCTATATGTATCTTTTAAAACATCAAAGCAACCATCATTTTTATACCATATATTACTAGTAATTAGCAACTAGGTTTATTATATTATACCATATGTTTATTTATTTTTATTCTTTTACTCTTTATTAAATAGTTAGTTTTTTCTTTAACTAAATAAAAATGATTTTTAAAAAATTTCTGATTGTTGTTGAAGATCCTTATTCAAAACTATTATTGGAAACATATTTGATTAATGCATATTCCCCCGAAATATATTTTTATTCCCAAAGCTTATATTTTATCAACAAACTATTACATTATTCCCAAAGCTTATATTTTATCCACAAACTATTAAATTATTCCCAAAGCTTATATTTTATCCACAAACTATTACATTATTCCCAAAGCTTATATTTTATCCACAAACTATTACATTATTCCCAAAGCTTATATTTTATCCACAAACTATTACATTATTCCCAAAGAAATGTATAAAAAAAATTAAACAAACGGAATCCGAACAAAAAATGAAACCAAGCAATCAGAATGAAAAAAAAACACAATATATTAAAAAAAACAACAAAAAAAAAAACAAAACAAATGGCTCAACAACACAAAAGTACTGAAGGTAATATCAGGAAATTTGATTTGAATTTACAAACTTGGACACAATCAAGAATTTATATGATAAATAATTTAATGACAGATTTTTTAGGACATTACCACCACACTGCAAAAACATCATAATTTTTATTTTGTATTTGCTACATTAGCCTTCAGACCACTTCATGTATGCAAGGGTCCACATTTTTAGTAGGTAGGCTAAACATTATGCGAATATGTGGTCTAAACATTGTGTGAATGGGTACATTTGTGCGAATGAAAATATAGACCATACATTGTGTGAAAAAAAGGTAGACCATACATTCTGTGAACAGGGGGATATACATCATGCTAGTATTTATATTTCATAATATTCCACCTGATAGAGCCGCTATCATAAAAATGTCATTATGTAAAGTAATAACATTAACAAGAGGCTTGGGATACCATGAAGCTAATGCTAAAAAAGTATTTATATTTCATAATATTCCACCTGATAGAGCCGCTATCATAAAAATGTCATTATGTAAAGTAATAACATTAACAAGAGGCTTGGGATACCATGAAGCTAATGCTAAAAAAGTATTTATATTTCATAATATTCCACCTGATAGAGCCGCTATCATAAAAACGTCATTATGTAAAGTAATAACATTAACAAGAGGCTTGGGATACGATGAAGCTAATGCTAAAAAAGTATTTATATTTCATAATATTCTACCTACTTTTTTAGCATTAGCTTTATCTTATGCAAAGCCTCTTGTTATTACTTGACATAATGAAGTTTGTATGACAGCCGCTCTATTGTTGGGCAGTTTACCATAGACAAGAAGCAGATCCTATCGCAAACCTCACAGACTTTTTCATTTTCTATAACTGACAAGCGCCTCTTGTTGCCAGAACCGGGTGGCGGCGATTGATTAAAGACGGATCTTTTCTCACTGCGCAGACCGGCGGCGTGCAGCTGGGTTCTCATGTCCAGTTCTTTATATCTTTGGAAAAAATAATAAATACCGATTGAATCATTTCATTCGTGATCAAATTAATTGAAATTTATATAGGTATATAGGCAAGTAACATTGTAAAGGACATTTATCAAATAGGAAATTGAATATCCCTTTTCTTGATGTCTTTCACTGAGGCAATCCCATTTCCCCTTTGAATTCTAGTTTGAAGTTTAGTCAATGTTCTTGCTGACTATCAATTAGATGGCTATGCCTTAGAAAAATGATCCCAAAAAAATATTTAAAAAGACAAATCACAAAACCAGTGACTTCATCAGCTAGCAGTACATACGGGATGAGCTGCTACCGTGGACCATGGGTGATAATGATCTATTCAATGTCTCATTTATTCAGCTGGCTCAGTAAGCTCAAAGAAAAAATATGATACAATTCAAACTTACACCAAAGAAGAAAACAATGGAAGGGCTTCTGTCAATGTTGCAGCATCAACTTTCTCATCCTGCATGAGTCCACACAACAGTAAACACATACTGAACAACTCACGTTCTCCACTTTTGGTCAGTGCCTAAAGTAAACATTTTTATTTTAATTTTTTTTTAGAAATATTCAAATTGATCAATCTTTTACATATGCAGACATCATTTTGAAAATTTGCTCCACTTCAGCTGAAATTATAGACTTACTTTAAATCTATCTTAACAGCAGGTTTCTTTTTAAATAATTGGGTTCATGGCATACATTTCCTGCCAAGTAAAAATTAAATGTTTATTTACGGGTCACTTTTGTGTTGACACTAATCGTCAGGCCCGAGCACACACTTTTGTGGTGACACCAGTTGTCAGGCCCGAGCACACACTTTTGTGGTGACACCAGTTGTCAGGCCCGAGCACACACTTTCACTGACCTGAGATGCTTCCATGCCCATAGGTAGCCACCTGGTTGATGCGGCGTAGTGGACGCTCTCAGACACACTGTAGCCACAGGACACTGTGGCGGTGTAGGTGCCAGGAAATACAACAACAAACTGGCGTGCACTGTGGATGCACCGACTGACCTTGACACCATGTTCCCTGAGGTGGCTCGGGTTAACCTAAAGGTGGGAAACAATCAAAACAAGAAAATTTTACAACAGCCGGAAAATATAATGTACATCACAAGGAAAATTAATCAGGTCTTCGAAACTGGGCTGTACAACATAATTAAAGTATGTAGACAGAATGATGTAGGCTATTAACAATAATAATAATACAGCTAACAATGAGTGAAATATCAATGTTTAAATTAAAGAATATCTTATGTATTGTAACTTGGTTCCAACAATTTTAAGAGTGAATGAAATTTGTATGTCCTTCCAAGGCCTACCATGACACAATCCTCCTTCAGCCACCGTGGTTTGCTACATAATAATGTGGGGGCTAATTCTGTCATTGCAGGCCGGAACTTTGAACGCTGTGACTTTGGAATGCAATACCTGCAAAATGGTTCATATTAATTTATACCTCACATACATTTTTAAAGCAGTGTAAACTATACAAATACATATGATAAAAGGTAAATTTTTTTCAAATTTGTTTGCAATGGACCATGAGCAACTTTGGAGACTGTTTTATGTTAATAAATACTTGGTGTTAAGAAAGTTACAGGTACTTCCCAAGAGAAATATGGTAACGTATGCAAATACCCAAAGAAATAGCCTGGATGGGATATACGGCGTTACTTTACTGGAAGGGGGCTAATTCTGTGCTCAGTTACTGGAAGGGGGAGTCACTGGGCTCAACCTGTGGGTTGCGACCCCTTTGAGGGTCGCACGACCGTTTCACAGGGGTCGCCTCAGACCATCTGAAAACACATATACTCTACAGTTATAAAGTACCAACTGAAAATAATTGTGTGGCTGGGGGTCAACATAACATGAGGAACTGAATTAAAGGGTCGCGGCATTAGAAAGGTTGAGAACCACTGTTCTACTAAATACTGACCAGATAATATCTGCCCCTGTGTGAAGATACTGTATGTAAGGTAAACAGTGGGGGTCAGTAGACCAGCATGAGGTAGAAAATAACATGCCCATGTGTAACGTGGGAATGGTGATGCCTGACACAGGGCCGAGGTATTTCAGGAGACAGTTGGGATTTTCTGGGATATTGTTTAGGTTCCAAGGATGCCTGAGAATGGAAAAATAAAGCTGTTAATAAACATTTAAATGAGATGAAAACTAATCAAATAAGCCAAAGTTATATCCCACTGACTTACAATTTCAACATCCATACCAATTTATAAGTCATTCAAGTTTTCAACTTTGTTCTATTTTTTAATTCATTTTAGTGCATACATCTACAACTGATTCTTGGTGAACAGATTTTTTTTATTACTGAAAGTTTACACACACTGATTCTAGGTGAAAATATTTTTTTTAATTGCTGAAAGTTAAATCACACTGATCCTAGTTGAACAGATTTTTTTATTACTGAAAGTTTACACACAATGATTCTGGGTGACCAGATTTGTCTATTACGGAAAGTTTACCAACAATCTTACGTACCAATAAGGTAAATTTTAACTGAGCCCATTCTGACAGACCAAAGGAACTAGCGTTTTAAGCTAAGTTGAACACTTGCCAACAACTGCCACGTTAAAACAACTTAACAACAACGAAGTTCACAATTTCATATGAGAAAGGATAGGACTGACCTGGAATAAGCGCTGTCCTTGCGTGTGGGGAAGGCACTTGCCTGTGCCCGAGTATTGATGTGGCCACACTGTACACTAACATGCTTGGTTCTTTCATCAACCACACGCCAGTAATCAAGCTTTGTGGACGATCAGAGAAAAACAATGCAATTCTTAACACACACACACAATTTATTATTAAATCCAAAACAAAGAACAGAAATAAATAAGGAAAATATTTACGATTATTAAAAATACTTATGGAACGGAATTTCATTTCTTTACGCTTGTTTGGTTCCCTTCAAATCATGGCCAACAAAGCAATTGGGTTTTGTGAAGAGCTTTCAGAAATCTTGAATTAACAAGTTACAGTGTGTTTTTTTTTTAAATCTTAAATTAAAAAATTTAAAAAACCGAGAAACAGCATTATTTACCTCAACCTGGGCTGGTGAAGGATCCTCTTTGTACCACATAGACTGGACATTTCTGGCTATTCTGCTGAACCAACTGACAGGCATAGACTTGCCCTGAGGAATTTTTAAAATTAAAAACTGAATCAGAAATGAAATGGTAATGACCATTGTGACTTTATGCACAATTATGGCTTTTTCAGTCCTGGGCAGGATTTCCCAACTTTTCAATGTCTGCATCCTCAACAAATTTACCAAGTCTCGCACCATAACAAATTTTTTTACTAAGTCTCACATGTCCTGAAAAAGTAACAATGTATTAAAAAAATTTCATGGACTTCTAATTTTTATTTATGGCATTACAAAGAGAGCTGTACAGCCAAGAAAACAAATGTTAAAATGTTTTTGTTGAAATTCCACCTCAAACCCACAGGTTGGGAAACCTTACTACAGAGGTTTCTAAACTGCACAAGAAAATGCATTTTAAAAAATCATCATCCCTGTGACGCTATGGCCCATGTAGGGCTTTGGCCTGCCTCACCACTTCCTTCCACTCAGACCTAACTAATGCCTTTCTTTTCCATGCTTGGACTTTCAGCTGCTGTAGATCTTTTCTACATCATCTATCCACCTAAGCCTAGGTCTGCCTTTGAGCCTTTTTCCTCTGGGGTATTGGTGATGTACCCTCTTCATTCCTCTGTCATTTGGCATTCTCTCTAGGTGTCCTGCCCAGCGTAGCCTGCCTCTTTTTATTTCTGCCACTATCGTAGGATCCTGATATAGACTGTATAATTCCTGGTTGGTTCGTATTCTCCATCCATATTCATCCTTTGTTGGCCCATATATTTTTCTGAGAACTTTCCTCTCCCATGTGTTTAATAGGTTTTCTGCTGTTTTTGTTAGGGTCCAAGTTTCACTTGCAAATCTTACAACTGGTCTGATCACAGTTTTATAGTTTAAAAAATGGAACAATAACATTATGTTTGGCAGAAATAAAAAATGTTATTGTTTGACAGAATTATATGTTTGACAGAAATAAAAATAATTTTTACAGTGATTCCCAGAGCAGCTGTTGTGGAAACAAAGTTAACCTTTATTAGAATTTCTTAAAATTTTGTTTTTAAAGCAATATAACAAGTCTTGTAGACTAATATTATATTTCTGCATCTGTTTGACCATAAACCAATTTGATAAAAAAATAGTTTTAGGGGAATAAGAGGGGTGGTCGGCTTATAAGCAGGTCATATAATTATTTCCAGGTACATTGATTCTATTATAAAAATGATGAAGAAAATTGCCACCCTTTTCCAAACTCTGCGGTTGTCCGAAAATGCCTCCCCTCATTCAAAGAAAAAAGTGCCTCCCAGGCCCCACACCTTCCCACTGTGTGTGCAAAATTTAACATGTTTTATCATGTTTTGTCCTTATTTTGCAGTTGCCGCAATTGGCTTAGAGAGTATCAAAGTACCTGCAATGAACAATCAAAGTGTAGTACCCTGAGGTCCTATTTTTAGAAATGTTCAGTATGGTTACAATATTACCGACAGACACCCAAAGAGAGTAACTGTGTTGTACATAGTACTGTATGTTTATTCATTTTTAAGTCTTTTTACATATGGTACATGTCAACTCCTACTGTCTTCTTGGATTGATTACATTCATCAAGTTCTTTTCACACGTTGAAGCGTCGTACTATTCTCACTATCATCGAACAAACTCAACTCCTTTTCATAATAACTATAACTTTAATATCTAAGTAAATATAATACACATACACGTGTGAATATAGCGCAGCTCGCTATCAGACCTAAATAATACACATCCTATCACTCCAAAGTTCCACTCAAGACTGCCGCACGACTAAAACATACGTCACAATACTGCATAGACAATACGTCATGAATCAGCATAAAAATACGTCATAGAGACAATGGCGGGAAGAGCGTTCACTAACTATAATAGTCAAGCGCGGGAAAAGCGTTCAACAACTAATGAACATAATATTGAGTCGCAACAATTACTAATGAACGCTCATACTCGACAGTACACAATAATTATCTTTAAAAGTTTGGATTTTAAAATAAATTATTTTAATTTAGTAATGTATTGATTCTCCTGGCATATAATGTGGTCGGCTTATGAGCGGGTAACACAATTTTCAAGGTCAAAACTAGGGGGGGGGGGGGCAGCTTTAAGAAGGAAAGGGCTTTTGAATCAGAATATACCATTATTAATATATTAATAATGTATTTTATAAAACAAATTTAGGCTGTGTGGTTTCTTCCAATTAAATTTAATTGCTGCCACTTCTATCAGTTACACTAAATATTGTTTCTAAAATGACAAGAGTTGTAGACTTTGTATGGATTTCGCTAGGCAATGCTAACTACCTGACTGTTAACACAGACAGCAGAACTGACGTTATCTTACTTTAGTGATGGCATCATCTTCCACGGTCTGCAGATCATAAATGGCCTTGACCTCTTCTTCCAACTGCTGCTTCTCCTCATTGGACAGTGTTGCATATGGAAATACATGATGGCAGTAGATGTCATACAGTCGAACTGTCCTGTCCATGGCCTGCAGAAGTAAACAGCTGTCAGTTGAGTCAGCGGTACCACGGCATCTCACACTAATCAAATGGAACATTTTTTTGTGTTACACATCCAGTCTGTGTTAGCACTCCCAGTTAGTGTAGGTGAAGCACTTGTCTTGTGACATAAAATTAAAACACACTCTCCTTTATACCAGTTGGATCGTAAAAATAGCTTTGATTCATTTCAAGTTTACTATCAATAGTATACAAAACTACTGTGGCTGGTGCATGGTGACCATCATGACACCACTGTGGCTGGTGCATGGTGACCATCATGACACCACTGTGGCTGGTGCATGGTGACCATCATGACACCACTGTAGCTGGTGCATGGTGACCACCAGGATTGAAATAACTTTGACCCGAGGCAAATCAAATTTGGACTTTTTCTTTCCAATATCATTAAAATCCTAAATCTCCAGTCATGTTCACAATTGAAGCAAACCTGCTTTGGAATATTCATAACGTCAGCAACCCTGGCCCAATGTTTTTTGTCTGACATTTTCTTTGGTCCACCAGATTCCTCTACAAGATGGTAAAGCTGAGGTAGATCTACTTGTACCCCTCCAATCTGCAACAAAAACAGGGAAACAAAGGTTGTATCAAAATTATGGTTTATGGATTCCTTTATTTTAAATTTAAAAGTATAATAATAAATAGTGAAACAAGATATGTATTATATTATGTTATCTAACAATTTAAATGACTTTCAATCAACTACTAATCTTTAATAAATATTCATTTCAAATATGTTCAATGAAATTTTACAAGGTTACAATTGTTTTTGAGATGAATTATTTTAATGGGAAAAATAATTAATTTTTTTCGGGAAGAAAAGAGAAAGTGAGGTTGTTCTGTTTTAATATCATTGGTCGCTGCTGCCATGGTATGGCTAGTTAAACATGGCGTGGATGAAAATACTATGAATTAAAAGGAAATAAATTATTCATACTGAAAAACTGGTATATTTTAAAAAATTATATTTTTGGATCTGTTTAAATAAGGTCTACTTAAGCTACTAGATTTAAATACAGAAAAATTAATGAAACAGGAATTAGCAACTCCCCAGAAATGGAAAAATTGTGAGATGTCCAAGGGCAAGCTACTCTGTTTTACAAAAAAATTGGACATACCCAATTGCTAAGTCTTTGTCACTAATGATCCTAGTGAATAGAGCTGAGAACTTCAAATTGTCTTCAGACAGATTTAAGGGATCAATTCCAACTTCCTAAATCAAATGAATGATAGCTTAGTGTGGGAAAGCTATTGTCTACATCCACTTTGATCCAGATGTTATAAAAACAACTTACCTGAGGCGTTGTGGAAATGTTAGAATTCTCAGAAAGTAGATGTTGGTTTATTGCTGCACTATGTTGGACATTTGGTCCCCATCTAGTGTTACAAAAACGAAAAACAAAAATTTGAAGAGTTTTCTTTGTAAGTGTTGAAGTATACATCTAAGAGAAGAAACGGAATATTCCTTTATATTTGTTTTTTCAACTATGAAACAGAAATAATTTTACCTCTTGTGGAGTCTGTGAATTTGTTGAACTTGAGGGGTGAATCTGACATCATCACCAATTTTATTGCTATCAAGCTGTGGTACAGAAAAAGTAGTTGGTTAAGCAAGTATCCTTTGAAATCTCTATGTTCATTCTTGTATGTAATGAAAATATAATTGCCTAATGCTTTATTCTCTACTCTAGGGCATTAGTCTTTGAAACCTGTCACACATTGAGTATCATAATTCAGATAAACACTTATCAGAATTTATAGCTGGTTTTGTATTTAAGATTTATGGAGAAAAAGAACAATTTAGCAGTAACATACCTTCCAGCTGGGCGGTGGGATTATCCTACACATGCCATGAGGCTCTGCCATCGGCTGGATTTTATTAATATATGCCAACGGATCAGCGAACTCCGCCTCAGTAGGATGGAAGGTTGGGATGGTGTTCTCGTCAGATGATGAATGTGGCGATGGTGAGGATGAAAGTTTGGCTGGAAGGATAAAGGGTTCAAAAGATGATTTCAGCAGTAGAGACCAGCAGCAGAATTGTACATTTCTAAAAAAAGGTATACAAGATCTCATTGACTTTCCTCAGATTAAGTTAAAAGAGACATAGAAAGTTTGATTTTGATAGAGTACCAATGTCACCTGTAGGTGTGCATCATATACTTTCTAGCACCAACAACATGGAGTTTTGAAGTGACAGTATTCAAGTTTAAACCAATCAAAACGATGAATTACAGTTCTTGGTTCAGAGTTGAAATAAACTCATTTCTACATACATTTTAGATTTCAATTAAACTTGTACATACTACTTGAATTAAATTAGCATTTATATTTTATTAAAAATTTTTTTAATACTTCTCTGCAATTTTACTTTAATCTGCATAATGGATCAATTGGGGTTAAGAACATAACATTCTTTTTTGCAGAACAAAGAATACCTGTACATAACTTAATTTTTAGTAAAATCTATTCACAATGGCATTTTAAAAAGAAAACATTGCTGACTCCTTAATTTTATGTAAACAATACAAAACATCATAACTATACTGCAAAGAAAGGGCAAAGATGAAAGACCATGATGATTAAGCATTAATTACATTTTTATTGGAGAAAAAGACAATGTAAACATTTTTAAAAATTACCCTTAGTTAAAATAGAAGGCACAAAATCTCTAATGAGTTATCTCTCTTTATAACTAAAAAATAATAATTTTAAGAGACAAAAAAATAAAGTAATAAACAGAACCTGGAAAATACTCTTGAACCAAATGCTTATCATTAAGACCTTACCTTTCTTGGGTGGTGTTTTCTTTGGTGATATAATATCCTTAAGATCCTTGTTTTGCCGTGTGATCACAGTCTCAGTGCTTTTGGTCCTGACAGCTCCTATCTTCCTGGGTTCCTCTGTGTGATCTGATGGCTGTACCGTGACTTTACTACCTTCATCTGGACTTTGATCCTGAATCTTCCTACCACCGGCAGACAACTTCTCCACTTGGACATTTCTTGACATAGTTTTCTCCCCTTCCTCAACTGTTTTTGATTCTGTTTTAGTTTTATTCTTGACAGCAGAATTTTCTCTTTTTGCTCTCTTTAGAGCTAACTTGGACGCCAGCAATAAACTATACCCTCTCGTTCGAACTCTTTCTAATGGACGTATTTTGTATGAACTTCTTGGTTTCAACTCGGTGAACTTCTTGACATTCTTTCTGTCATTTTTCTTCCGTTGCTTCACTTCTCTGTGAACATCTACTTCCTCCACTTTCTTCGCTTCTTTCCCACTTTCAACCTCATCGGCCCCCTTACTTGTTAGCTGTGACTTTGCAGAATGTCCGCTGACTGACCTAGATATTTCCCTAAGCCGCAGACTTACCCGCCTTTTGGATTTTAATTCTTTTTGAGACCTCCTCATCAGTTTTCTTCCTCTGTTTTCTTCTTCTGATTTTCTTTTCCTTCCTCTTCTTTCCAACATTTTAACCTCCTGCTTTTGTGTCTTCACCCTTGTCCGATTGGACTGACCCTCGGACCTCTGACCTATCCTCCTGACCTGTCTGGCCACACTGCTCAGTTTGTCCATTAAATTTTTCCTGGCACTCTTGGCTAAGCTGGTCTCATGATTCAAGCGCCTGGAGTTGTTCCCCGATGGTGTGACGCTCCCAGGTTGACCAGGGCTGCGGCTGGCAGCTCGGACAGGGGTGAAGGCACCTAAAGCGGATCTCTGAAAAATATTGTATTTAAAAATAGTAATTTCTGGTGTGGAAAACATTGACAGCACAGAGACATTACCATGAATGCAATATTTCTGCTTTAACCCCAGCCCAGTAGTATAAGATTTTATAGCAAGTTTAAAATGCAACCAAAGCCCCACCATAAAGATATTTCAAATATTAATCTTCATTGAACTATAGAAAATATGACATGACAATAATGGGCAAACTGGTATCAAACATGTTTAATAATGGCAACATCCCCATAAATTTTGTTCAACAAGATTAAAGCTTTGAGCATTGAAACTGTGTTCATGTTATATATAGAAGAAGACAATGCCATTTTTTAAGGGCCATGTTTTACGATGTCTCTCTAAAGCATTATAACAGCCGAGCTTTGCCTCAAAGAAGAAAAATATCTCAGAGGCTCAGTATGAAGAGCATGACTGGATATGAATAACAGTGCAAAGATATTTAAAATAGAAAATATGTGCTACTGCCCACTGCCCTTATGACAAAAGCTATCTAGAAAAGGAAAAAAAGGGAAGGCTTGCACATATCAAAATAATATGCAGACAATATGATAGGCCATTTAGGATGGGTTGGGTTTAGTGTCTCAAAAATATATGTAGGCAGGCCTACTTTACATCTTACAGCATGGATGAAGAGACTAAAATTGGAGACTAATATAAATTTCCTATAAAATTTTAATTCTAATTTCTTGTTACAAAAGCTATTTGACCTACTTTTTTTTTTAAAGGGTCAAAGGTCAGCTTTTTAAAAATAAAAATAATAAAAAACCTATTTCTTGACCTAGTCTTGGGAAAAAAAAAAAAAAAAGCTCAAAGTTTCAGAGATGAGTATGATTCAGACTTGGCTATGTACTAAAACTGCTCAAGAGATTAGCCAGTTAGTCTCGACTATGCAGAATCAGTGATACTCCAGGGTTATTTTTTAAAAGGTCAAAAGTCAGCTTTTTAAAAATAAAAAAAAAAAAAAACCTATTTCTTGGCCTAGTCTTGGGAAAAAAAAAAAAAAAAAAAGCTCAAAGTTTCAGAGATGAGTATGATTCAGACTTGGCTATGTACTAAAACTGCTCAAGAGATTAGCCAGTTAGTCTCGACTATGCAGAATCAGTGATACTCCAGGGTTGGAAAGCAAATTAAGAACAAGTCACAGAAGTCAGATATTATTTTTTGTTTTGTTTCAGTGCAGACCAACGCCCTGCATATTTAAAACATGGTTGGGGGCAGAAACACGAAGTTCTTAGGTCTATCAAACATCAGAAAGATGGCCAAATGACAGAAGAGAATAAAAGGGAGAAGATAGGAAAGATAACCAAACACAAAGAATGTAATAACAAGGCGAGTGACTCAGGCTTTGTTCAAGTAGATTGAGAATGTAAGCTGCAATGGGTATAAACCCTAGCCACGTAAGTTGAAACCATGCTGTAAATGTGTGAGTCAGGAGAAACAATGCACAAGGTAATCTCAAAGCAAGCAGGTGCACAGCAGTGACACACTTATCCACATCAAAGATTAGTTTCATATCAAACACACAATTTAATCTGCTTTGATGCATGAGCATAAAACTACACGAAACATGTGTTGGGTTCATTACTAATACTCTATAATTTCCTGCACACACACATACACAAAAAAGGGCTGACGAACATGTACATAACTTCAGCTCATCATGACAGTTGCTGCCCATGACACAAGCACATATCACAAATGGAAATGAACCTATCTTTAGACAAAGAGAACTGTAATTAATCTCTAAGGCATAATGTGTTCCCCAATCCATTGCTTTAAACTCTCTTATAATAAAGTATTGCTTCATTATGTTATGCCATTTAAAAAATAACTATCCCTTTTTAATAAAACAATACTTTTAAAATCTCCAATGACCCATATTAATAGGCAAAGACTACAAGCAATGCTTAACAAAAATAAAATTGGCTGAAATTTATTTAAAATATAAAAGCAATCAGAAACATTTTTTTTTTTTAAACAACAAATAATACAAGACCTACATTTAAAAAAATGCTCCAATAATAAGTTTATGTCACTGGTCAAAGTGAAAAAGTAACAACAAACATACAAGAAATGTTGGACATTTATTAAGTACCTGAAGTTGTAACTAGTAAGTGAGGGTGACCCATGGCCACAGCATGCAGCAAGGAATAGAAAAGAATATGTCTACTGTCATCAAAGAAGTTTTTCAAACAAGCAAAAGGCTACTAGATTGCCTGTGAGTTGTTGGGCAATGGTGTTAACAAGTAAAACAGTAAGGTGATGTCCTTCTAATGGAACATTTCAATACATCAAAGTCTAGTCTATGCTGTTAACAGGTCCACACTTGGCAGATTTCATCAGTTCAATAATATTATGCGAAATTCGTATACAAAAAAAACAGAGAAGTACAAAACATCAACCCAAAAGAAAGAAAAAAAAGTCAATTTTCTTAATATTTGATTAGATTTATCTTCCCCGTAAAAAGCTAGTGGTTTGAAATATACACAAATGTGCAGTCATTGTTTGAAACTTTAAAAAATGTACTGTTGTAAAAAAATTTTGAAATCTTTTTAAAAAGTGGAAACGGAAGACAAAACCTAGCTGATAAACATACTAATACTTTTAGCCCAACTTGTTACAACCAATTGAATCACCCAAAAAAATTAATAAATCAATAAAAATAAAACCAGTAAGGAAAAGTTAAAAAATTGTTAATAATCTTTTTTTTTAATCAATACATATCTTCAGAAATAATAACAGAAAGAAAAAAAAAGAATGACCGATGACAACAATGAAATGAAGAACAGGGGATATGAATAGTTGTGTTGTGTTGGCAAAAGTCAAATATCAACAATGGGAATGTCTACAAGCTGACTGTAAGGCCCAGCCAAACAATTCACCTCCGTCCTTATGCAGACACAAAAACGGCAACTACATAATATTGTGATCAACTCAAACAACACAGAAAGACTTGTACTAAAATAACATACAGAGATATATCATTTAGAACAAAAGTAACATAAGCACGGCCTGATCAAAGCAAATCAAAGAGTAACCCACAACTGACCAATGACCCACCAAAACAAGACTGATCCAACAGTACCCCACCAACCACTCACTGAACACTGACCCACCATCCCATGACTGACCAAACAGTGATCCACCAACCCACGACTGACCAAACAGTGACCCACCAACCCATGACTGATCAATCAGTGACCCACCAACCAATGATTGGTCAACTAATGACCGATCACCCCATGACTACGACGGACCAATTAATACTTTAAAACACCAAACGTAAAACTAAAATACAAGACAAGTTTGAAAAGAAATGAAAACCAGCAGAGATTGTTATCCAGTTTAATTCCCCACTCACACTCATCTGCACACAAGTGCAATACATTCAATCTATCCCAAAAAATGCAAACAAAGAAAAGCAGTTCAAGTTTCCATAACTTCATCTCCTATTTTTTGTATTTAATATGTTTCAATTTAAAATAATGTTTTTATTGGTCTTTTTATAAAATAAAATGTAACAAAAACTATTATATTTAATAAAGAAAGAAAAAAATGTAGATAATTCAATTCTTCCTTCTTTATTTACAGACCTGTTATAATAAAATACACAGACGAACAAAGAAACACAATTTTTTTCAATTTCAGACCAAAAAGGGAAGATGTTTTAACACAAATAGATTTTTAACAAAAAATTATTTCATTACAACAAGCCAGCTGAACTTTAATTGATTTCTCAGCCAAGAAAATCACCCAATACCTATTTAGCTGTGAGCCGGCTAACAAAGATAATGTCGCTATTGATCTCTTCATGCCCATTGTGTGCCGAAACCCTCCTGATGGTATGTGCAATCAATCTTTGAGCAAACATACTTCCCCCTACTACTATTAAATAAACTCATGTCTGATTCAATGACAGGATGATGCAGCAGGTTCAAGCATTCGTAGACAACACCAGTTATTGAATTGCACATGGGTCACCCATTGAAATATATCATTGTCTAAGCGTGCACAACAAATCTGATCATGTGGATATAGTATGGCAGCTTTAAACAAAGCTTCCACATGTAACAAAGTATTCTTGTCACAATGCAAGAATTAATGTAACAAAGAGTATTCTTGTCACAATGCAAGAATTAATGTAACCAAGAATTTTCTTGCCACAATGCAAGAAGCAATGTAACAAAGAGTTTTCTTGTCACAATGCAAGAAGCAATGAAAAAAAGAGCTTTCTTGTCAATGCAAGAAGCAATGTAACAAAGAGCTTTCTTGTCACAATGCAAAGCGCAATGTAACAAAGAGTATTCTTGCCACAACCAAGAAGCAATGTAACAAAGAGTTTTCTTGTCACAACCAAGAAGCAATGTAACAAAGAGTTTTCTTGTCACAACCAAGAAGCAATGTAACAAAGAGTTTTCTTGTCATAATGCACACATCATTTGCATGGGAAGAAGCACTTGAAGAATCAATTATAAAGAAGCACATTTTTCTAGGGTTTTAATGATAAATTCAATGCATGACACATCTTTTGAATGAAGAAATGACTAATAATCATGCATGGAAAACATTTACTGGTACCCTCCCTGCCCTCAGTTTCAGGCTGTAAAAATATTCAACTCACACCAAATTGGTAATATTTTGTGTGTCATAATAGTTTGATAGGAATTCACTGCCGCATGTTAAACTAAAGCTAAATCATTGTTGAACATCCTTTATGTTACTGTTACATGTGCACATGACACTGACAAGTTTATATCCACTGCCTAGCATCACGACGCAGTTTTATAACTGAATTTTTCATGAACACAGGTTTATACTCTTTATTAACAGCACAACATATTCAAGGTCTGCAAGAACCAGCCATGAATAGGTCCCTCAAGTGTTGCACACCCATCAGGTTGTTAAAAAAACTGCCTAAAAAATATGTGTACTTCAATATTCATGATTAAATAAAGAAATTATAGTTTAGGTTGTAGCT